TACACCAACACCACCATTACTTGTTGAAGGCTCAACATCATCTGCTTTTGAAACATCTCAAAATCCTCGCCAGATTGATCGCAAGGTTCAAAGCCTACAGAGAAGTCTTCAAAAGAAAAGAACACTTTCTAGCAGTCCAGTCTCTCATATTCAACATCTTGAGAAGGCTGCACAGGTGGCAATGAATATGAATCTATTTCTTCATCAAGAAATCAAGGTTCTACGAGCTGAAGGTGAACGTAAAATAAAGAAGAAGGCAAGGAAACGTGCTTCTCTAGGGAATGATTTATTTATCTCTGTACAAGAAGGCCGTGAGCATATACAGCAGCTTGATACACAGCTTAATGAGCAGGTTGATGAGCTTACACCTATGCCTCGTCAACGCGCTTCACCACGCTGTAGTGGCTGTGGGACTGTTGGGCATACAATAAGAAGCTGCCCTAATAAATAGCTAGATATTTTGTCTGTTATATATTTTAATTCAATGGTGTTAGTGGTTGCAAAGCTTCAAATTCGTGGTGGTTGCGGAGGAAGTGGACGGGACGGCCGTGTGGACGGCTCGGCCGTGGATTACGTTATTTTTCAAAACACATTCATGTAATCCTGCATTGTACAATAGAAATATGTTTCACGAGCATTTCATAAACGAGCAATATCGGAAACACCGAGATCAGCCTGTGATATCGGAAGGGTCCCGCTTCTCCAAATGATACGCAGCGTCTCGCAGGTCTACCCCGCGCTGTAAGCGCTGTAAGATACCAACTCTCTTACCATAATATCAATTGCCATTCAACCATCTATCAGATTTCTGCATCAACAAGACAATGTCGTACTCTCTAAAGGGCCGCAACGTCCTCGTCACAGGCGGATCACGGTACATCTCTCCTCTCATAATTCCGAAAACTAAACTAACATTACCGAATAGGGGACTTGGAGCCCTCGTCGCGCAGAAGTTCGCATCCGAAGGCTCCAACATCGCTATCAACTATGCCTCGAGTAAAGATGCTGCCGAGAAGCTCGCATCTAAGATTCAGTCCCAGTTCGGTGTGAAAACGGTTACTATTCAGGGTGTGCGTGTATCTCCTACTTTGAGGGTGTACATTTGTTGATCTCGTCGAATGCAGGATGCAAGCCTCGCAGAGGACTGCAGCAGAGCCGTCAAGACGACCATTGAACAACTAGGTGGTTTGGATATTGTGATTTCCAACGCCGTAAGCCTCCCCGAATCCTCATAATTGATTTGTCAAGCTGACAGCTGCCCAGGGATGGACGAAAATTACACAGTTCAACGATTTGCATGCCATGAATGATGACGATTGGGACAGAGTAAGTGGACTTGGGTCCTGCTGACAGTACAATTTCTAACGCCTAGAACAGTGCTGGTCGACCAACGTCAAAGGCAACATGTACTTGTTCCGAGAGGCATTGCCAACCTTCAATGCGAATCCCGACGGCGGTGTCTTTCTTATGACTTCGTCTACTGCGGTTAGTAGATTTAAACACAGATCAAAGCACCCTGAATCAAGCTGATCATCATCTTAGGCTGTTTCGCCATCTGGAAGCAGTTTGCCCTATTCTGTAACAAAAGCAGCAGGTAAGGTCCCTTCGAATAGAAAAGCATTGTATGTCTCCTAACAATGAGAAAAGGTTTGCATCTCATGAAATGTCTCGCGCAGACCCAGGGAAGCAAGGTCCGGGTTAACTCTGTTCTTCCTGGTCTTTTGTTGACGGAATGGGTAAGTTGTCACCATGAGATATACGCATTGTGCGAGTGGAAGCTAAAATGTCTCAACAGGGCAACCGATTCCCTGCCGAGAAGATCCAGGGCTATAAGGATATATCTGTCCTCAAAAAAGTCGTGAGTACTTTCATCACTTGAAAGTTAATAAGACGAATGCTGATGCTGATAAACACATCAGCCTGAGCTTGAAGACACGGCCAATGCGTACATCATGCTTGCTCGGAACTCATCCATGACGGGACAAGCGATACAGATTGGTGAGTACTGCCAGGATATCATCGCTTATAGTTAGCTAACTCTGACAGACGCCGGGTTTGCCATTAAATAAACTCTTTGTTGATAGAATTTCGCCAATGCGAGGTCTTTCTCTTCGAAGACTGCATTCGATATCATCAGTATTTTTTGGTAGTACAAGTATCTCATAGAAGAGTATCGTGGAAGCCCCGGAACTCGAAATCGTCCGTACGGACTACTTTGTCACCCAACAATCCAGCTTTGCGTGCGGCCCGAGCAGCGTTCGTATTTGGCGCCCCTTCCACGATCATTCGGCGTAGATGGATTAGCTTCTTGTCAGAAGTCCAGACGTAGAGCTTCTCTTCCCTTTTACCCTCAGTCTGCAGAGAGCTAGCCACAAATGGCCAGCCCGGTGACGAAGCGAACTCTGTGCAGCCTTCCAGTGGCTGAACTTCTTCCATCTCCGCGAATATCAATCTCTTCCTTGATCCTGAAGTCGAGCCGGGCCGATTATCTGGTAAGTAAGCCTTGCCCCATAATGGGCCTATCACCCGATTCCTCCTGTTAATAATCTGCCATGACCACTCTGACCAGCTGATATGCCGATCTTCTGGTGTGATCTTAGCCGCATGTGGCGCTTCATTAAGCGGCAAATCGCTAAATCCTCGGTTTTCCAATGGAGGCACAAAAAGCCCCTGTCTGACACCATCAAGCAAAACATCTGCTCCCTTGGGCGTAACGACATCTAGAAGTTGCGAAATTGTACATGAATCTGGATCCGGTATCTCGAGGCCGGGGGGTGATGTCTGCTGGAGGACGACGCCACGATCGAAGTGCTGATGATGCATTGTCTGAAGCGTAACGCCGGTCGTGGTTCTACCATCCATGAGAACATGATGTAACGGTGCTGGCCCATGATAACTAGATTTCTATCAGTCAAAGTCCATATGCCACTAAGCTTTCAAGCAGATGGAAACGCACAATGGAAGCATCGAAGGATGGACATTTAGCCCTCCATATTTTGCTGAAGTAAGAATTCGTCGAGGCACAAACAGCCCGAACGACACGGCCACTACCAGGTTGATCGGTTCTCCAGAAGGCAGAGGTGGCTAGTACGGTCAGCTAACTGCCAATGGATCGACGAGGCCCGTATATTACCGTCCATCCTTTAAAGGTATCTATCTCGTGAATCGGAAGTGACAATTTGGATGCGGCCGCCTTGATGGGGACTATTGAATGGCTTCAGTTGGAACCGGTTTTCTCACGGCAATAGGAGCATTGAATAGTTACCCTCTCGTACGACTTTCAATCCCCTTCCAACCTTTTTTCCTGGCCTGCAGACAACATCAATCGAAGCGATACGATCCGGATTTAGTAAGTGCTCCTTATGGAGAGCTTTCAGTGAAGCGATACTGAACTCATCCGATCCGCAGAAGAGAATCCGGAGTGGATCGTAGGGCTTTGTAGACACGAAACGAATTGCAAATGCGCGATGGGACTGCGCCTGCCTACAGGCCCAGAGAATCCCGTGGTGTTTCAGGCGAAACATGGCGTTGGAAATTGTCAGTCTTGAGATGCTCGTCATGAATGTTTCCTCCGTCGGCGGCGTTTTAATCTCCGAGAAGCTAGACACGTGATGTCACTTGCGACATGCCCCCAAATCCAAACGAAAGATGGTGACTAGATAACAGCAGCAACTATCCTCCTACCTATTCTACCTTGGATTTCAGGCGCAACTCAATAATGCGATGCCTGAAAGCGACTTTGCCTCGGTGATCCCCGCGCAACTCTCCTTCCTTGCGATCTATAACCCCCTCCTCGGTCCGACAGACGAGACGCTCAGCGATCAGATTGTCTTCTACACGTCGAGATCGAGTCGTTTGCGACGGACTGAAAGTACTGCCGGGGGTGATGAAAGTGAGAATTCCAAGGATGAATCGAACGGCAGGTTGCGCCAGATAGGTCTGGCGCAGGGCATGGTGGGCTTCGCGAAGTGGGTATCACTGTCTACTTGAGAGCTTCAGTTACGCTGAACTGGCTATTATAGGACTTTTTCGGATGGAAAAGCACTGGAATACGTCGAGACAGAGAAGTCTCGGGTTGTCCTCCATGAGTTGGAGCAAAATTGGTGGATATTGGCTGTATGTTTGTCTTCCGGATTCTCAAAAAGGAGTTGGTCGCTAAGGGAACCTATTGTTGCAGTCCATCGACCTGACACGAATTCCGTCCGATTCACATAGCGGAACATCGTCGCAGCATGATGCAGCCGAGTCGCCCTTATTCGTTTATTCCTCTCGAGAGCTATGTCCACCACATCTTATGATCCAGCAACTCCGTCGCGCGCATGCCTTGTTCCTACTCCACCATGACTTTACGCTCGACACTCTCTATGAACGTGTTGGCAGGCCCACACTCTGTGCTCGTCTTGAGCGTTTCTGGGGGAAGTTCGCATGGAACTGGGAGGCTCTTCTGAGCGGGAACCCCGCAGTGGACATATATGACGGGATAAAGCTCTCTGCAGGAGGCGAGCTTGGGATCGGCGTCGGAGAAGAGGAATGGGGAAGCGGAGAAAGAGAAGTACTTGAGGACTTTGTCTCTCGAACTGATGGGCTTGTGGATCTGATTGCCTCGAGATTTGGCGATCCACTCACGCAGGTCGCAGCCGGGGATAATCCCCCATGGCTTGGTTTCGGGGCATATCCTAGGTCATCAGATGGTGTCATTTTCTCGGGTGTAGGAGGTATATCGAGACCGTCTGTGGTGCGAATATCCCAATGGATGGAATGGATCTACAGATATGGTGATAGCGCATATGGAGTGGGTGAAGACCCAACCTCGCCGCGTCGCCGAAAGCCGCGCAGAAAACGTGGAAGGCTACACTCGAAGGGCGCCAGTATATCATCCAACGCTAGAAGCCCATCCGAATCTCTGAATCCGGATCGAAGCTTCTCTCCCGGAATCCCCCGTCCTCTGGTGGTAGGGACACCTCCGCCTCCAGAAGGGCGCGTCAGCCCTCAGACGATTAGGGACAACTCACCTGCGAAAAGCGAGCAACAAGAGGGCGACTGGTCGAGCTTGAGGCCTGAGACCTTTATGAAATATCTTACTTTGGGATACGGCACATCGTGGTTTTCATCGAATCCGTATCCTCCGGTCTCTGCATCGAAACAGAATGACAGTCCGTCAAATGCGGGGCATGAAGATACTAAACAAGATGCTGAAGAGGAAACCCAAAGTAAACCTAAAGTGCAAGACTTGGGAAGATTCATTGTTGGTTTGCGTGAAGGAGAGGACTCATCTGGTCATTCTCCAGAGAGCCATACGGAAGGCAACTCAAAGGGACGAATAGAACCTCGAATCATTCACGTTCATTTGGCAGGGCCGGAGCAAGAGCGGAAAGGACTTCAAGCAGTGGTTTATTTGGTATGCTCATCCTCTTCCTAGCTCAAAGCAGTCATAACTAACGTTGTCAGCACCAAGCATTCATCTTCACATTCCTCTTCGATCCCGAAACGCCTTCTCTCTTGAACCATACCCTTTACGACAGCATCCGTCACCAACTATACCCCCTTCACAAACAACTCACAAACTCCACTTCCCCCACAACAGCAGCGACCCGGATATCCGTATCCGAAAACGAATCAGCCACAAACCAACAACAACCAGTCTACGACCTCGTCTACGACCCCTCAAACCTGACAATCCGCTCTTCCATCCCCAACATCCCAGACCTAGCCGCATACACCGTATCACACCCGAACAATAAGCCCTGGTCGCGCCTAGAATCCATCAATATCCACCACCAGTTATTGAGCACGTACCTCGACACCCGCGCACGACCCCTAGAAACCGAACGAACGTGCAAAACTAGTCGTGGCTGGTGGATCGTGTGGGTGCGGATGTCCCCCACTGAAACCCCAGAGCCCATTAACGACCCTACCACGCCTACTCCCACCACCACTATTCCTATATCACCCAGTAATACAGCACAAGAAGCATTCCTCATCCGCAAAGCCAGCGACGCACAAGCAACAAGCCACTCCCGCGGCGTGAGCATGAACAGCGGAGGCGGGGGGTCAACGAGTTTCTTCCGCGATCTGGGCGGTGCGCCTTCGTCGTTCTCGTTACCGTCACTGACTGGAGGTGGAATGCAGGCGGATATCATGGGCCCGGCCAGATTGGTGGAGGGGCTGGGTATGGACACTAGACGGTATATTGAGAGGTTGTTGAGTTTGAATCGGTAGATTTACGCGATGTCATATTACCACTGTTCTGGAATTACACGAATACGGAGTACATCCGTAGTTTCTATGGAGTATGGAGGTTTGGTATTCTGCACTTGTACTACACGGAATGCACAGCGTACTTTTGTGAATTGCTAAATATATCCATCCCAGCATAATTTTTATTCACTGATAGTAGACAATAATCAACTAAATCTATTGAAGGCCATCCGTTCTCCCGGATGGTCCTCCCCAGTCTATCATTCACTCCGTGCTACTCCGTATGTACTCGGACTACGGAGTGCTAACTACCGCTAACTACTACTAGCACTAGTCCAGTCCTGCACTCCGTACTCTGTATTTTACCCCTGATCGTAGTGCACGCGTCCAGTAGGATTCTAATAATATGTGTTGCCTAGACGAATTGACCACTTGGTACTCCGTACTATTTATATTGTTTGCTCTGATAAGCTGCTACTCGGGGAATGCACGGCGTATTGCAGGTGTCCTCAGCTCGCAAGACGGGCGTCAAATCACATGATGGTGTAATAATAGAATCAGCCAGTATCATCTTCAATGTTAGTGAATTTCGGGGAACTAGGATGATGCAGTATGCAAACTATGGAAAGGTTCCCTCCAGAATAGCGTAGATGTTCTGAAGACTCCAGGACGCAGAAGAAAAAGAGTATTCAGGTAGTAAAAATAATTCCATGCATTCTCTTAACCGAAAGAACAAACATCAAAAAAACAATTAGAAAAGAGACATAAATGATAGGGGATCGTCTTTCCTATCATGAAGCTCCGGCTTGTCTTCTGACCAAACCTTTCAGGCAATTATGTATTGGCCGGACTCACGTGAGAAAACGCCATCCTCAACTGTTGCTCCTGTTCGAATCGCATCATGCGAGGATTTGATGACCTTGTTCTCTTCTTTCTCTTTCCCCCCCTCCCCATGCTCTTTCCTGCTCTGCCGTTCTGCCAGCGATGGGCGTTTCGCCATAGATGATCGAGTCATCCGGAAGATGCGCGCTATTCGAGGAGCTGGGGGAAAGAAGTAGAAAAAAAAAAAAAAAGAAACCCACGAGGTTATGAAGACAACGCCTCCCTAGACAAATCTGCAAAATAAGAAATTCGACCAACTGCACAACCAGATAATAATCCCATAAAAGCTCATGTGCCCGTGACTGAACATTATCCACACTTCAGGCACACATTAAGACACGCCAACGGAGAAACCCCTTCTGAGAAAAATGAAATAAGAAAAGAAATTAGAAACAGAACAAAAGAAAAGACAACCAAATATTTGAAACGCTCATCCGGTTGATATAATCTCCGCAACATTAAACGACCTTGTAAAAAGGAGACAGCACTAGTTTACAGGATAGCGCACTTCTTCTTGCTCTTGCTCGTCTTGGTCAGAAGAGCAGCGCGGGTGGCCGCTTCGAAGACCTCACGGACACCCTCGTTGGTACGAGCAGAGCACTCGAGGTACTTGTAGGCGCCGATCTTCTTGCGGACTTCCTCACCCTGGATGAAAGAAACGGCATCAGCAAAAAGCTCATCCAGAACGAGAGGTGAGTCAACATACCTGTTCGGGAGAGACAGGCTTCTGGGAGGTCTTGGTGAGCTCTTCAATGGTCTTGGGGTCATGACGAAGATCCATTTTGCAGCCAACAAGGATGATGGGAAGGCCCTGGCAGAAGTGAAGAACCTCGGAAATCCACTAGACAAAGTCAGTCGTATGCCTTTCAAGACCAAGCCACTATCGCTTCTTTTGCATCGGCACCAGCGCTCTTATTTCCACCTCTTAAATAACGCAGGGGCGACAAAAACGCACCTTCTCTTGGACGTTGTCGAGCGAGTCTGGCGAGTCGACGGCGAAACAGATCAAGATGACGTGGGAGTCGGGGTAAGACAGAGGACGGAGACGGTCGTAATCTTCTTGACCAGCCGTATCCCAAAGGGCGAGTTCAACATGCTTGCCATCAACCTCGACATCGGCAACATAGTTCTCGAAAACGGTGGGGACGTAGACCTGTACAAGTGTATCGGGTCAGTCTGGGGGTAGCACGAGGATGGTATGGGCCGAGAGAAATCGGTGAGTCGAATCAAGTTATAGGGAGGCACGATGGGTTGTAATGGAAAAGAATGTCAAGCGATCATGAAGGGAAACTAACCTCAGGGAAGGTACCCTTGGAGAAGACACTGTTGGCAAACACTGGGTCAGCCTTGTTCAAGCGCTGCTGCTAAGCACAGAAAAGAGAGAAGAGCAACTTACATCAACAAACAAGTCTTACCACAGGCACCATCACCAACGATGACAAGCTTGCGACGGATCTCGGCCATCTTGTAAACAGAAAGAATCTCTGAGTCAGCGAATGACGGATATCAGGAGGTAGCAAAAAGCGGAAGACGAATGCCGTCGATCACGAAGATGAGGGATATCAGAAGGCAAAAAAAAAAAAAAGAGAGAGAGAGAGAGAGAGAGAGAGAGAGAGAGCGATAGAGAGCGATAGAGAGCGAAAGAGGACAGAAAAGATAAACACAGAGAGAGATAGATGTTGTTGAAGCAGTAGTGGCAAAGCTCCAGGATGAATGATGGAAGAGGGAGAGGTTTGGCTGGAGAAAAAGGGACAAGTCAGGCGCCCGGGCGAAAAAGGGCTATCACTTACGGTGCTGGAGGGAGTAGGCGCAACGGGCGCGGTCTGACAGTGATTGAATTAGAAGAAAAGTAAATTCACGAGAGAACCCAAAAGGCGGATTCAAACAATGATTATTAGAGAAAGATGGATTTGATGGAAAAGAGATGGAAAAGAAGATGTAAAAAGGGAAAAGGGAAGAAGAAGGAGAGAGAGAGGGAGAGAGAGATGGTGATGGATATGGTTGGTTGGCAGTTCTCTATCTTTTTCTCCCCCAATTCCAATTCCAATGGCTCAGGTGAGTCGCTGAGGCTCTGGGTAGCCGGTTGCCTTAGTAAGGGTCACTATGTAACTATAGTTGGTTACAGTACACCGACTTTAGCGTACGGAGAGGATTATTCTTGTACTTGTATCCGTATTCTTAACTACTACTTGTATTCCTTTGACTCAATTACGAATAACAGTGACACCCCTTCCATTCTACACGAGTACTTGCCTTCACAGCCTGCTCCTGCTATGTGGCTTGGATAAATTCAATTCAACCTTCTACTGGCATGTGTATGGTAATGGTACGGTCATGATCACCTCACATGCAATGATTCTCGCTCCGACGTATCTTCGTGACGTACCTGTAATTTAAGCCACCGTGGCTGGAGAACTTTCCCAATGGGGGTGAGGCGGTGAGACTTCGGTATCTTTAAAACAGAACAGACACTCCAGAAGAAGACAGGAATCCGGCCAGAACCATTGATTATTTGGTTCCAGATTTCTCTTTCGTTTTTTCTTCGGTGCTTGATTGCCTGGTGAAAACTGGGGATTACATAGTACAATGCCCCTTTAATAAGAATAGACGACGTGCTCCACTCTTCGGTTCTCTCAGTCTCAGGAGAAATTACGGAATTACTAGCCCGTATTAATACTAGTACAGGAATTGAGCACAGCCACCGACAGAGCCACAGTCCACCCTACAGAGCAATCCGTTAAGCTAACCTTGTTCTTCTTCCTAGTCTTCTACTTCATACAAGAGGCTCGTATAAAGGGAATCCAAGGATCAAACAATTAAAGTGGCCATTATTATCCCATATGACGGTATTGATAGGGCAAAAACATAGCATACCCCGTCATTAACCATCGTGAATCGCCACGCAAAGCACCGTTATTTGCTTTTCCCGTTTGTCCAGACTCACGGCGTTACTTGCTTAGCACTGACCATCTGATTGTCCGCTGGTAGTAGCGGGCTACATGTCATTTGAAGCATATTGTACTGGGGTCCAAAGTACTCCGTACTTTAACTCCGTACATTCCGATCCTCTGACCGTTTCTAACTTCCTGCAGAGCGTCGTTTACCCAATTTCTATGCAAAAAAGAGCAATCTGCTTGTGCCAGCTGTCTGTCTGTGCCCACGGCCTTTCCGGGAGCTGCTTAGACGCCATGGGGTGACCGATAAACAACGCATCAATGGTGTTACATACGCGACTCGGTTTGCAGTTTCTTGCAGCTTTTACGTGCCGCAACAGTCTCCAACTGGACTGTTTGGTCCTTGAATTTTCCTTTTTAGGAGAATACAATGGGAAAGGAAAGAAAAAAGCGATGATGCCAGTACTTGTACACATGATCTGCTGCAAATCCCCGAAAGCGTCACTACACAGCTCGCTGGTCCTTTGTCCCTGTGGGCCGTATCTATACGACGACCTGACGACCATTGCGGCATTTCTTTCAAAAAGGACTGATGATGTCGGCTGTTGTTTTGCTCTCTCACACACCTCTTAGCCAGGATATTATTATGGTAGGACGCTCTTACAGAAATTCATGATAACCAGGATCTTCAACCGATGGGTCCGGCCAGCAAGTGCCGAGTTCAAAAGAATTTTTCGGGAATGATCCATAAAATAAATTCGTTGGGAACAAGTCTGTTTGACATTTCAGCTAAAGGGTTGAATGTCGTTTCAATTGCTCCTCTGTATAATCGCTTTGGTATTTGGCATTTTGACAGGGACTCAGATATTGAATACATCGGAAAATGAACATACAGACACTAATACTCAGACAGTTTATTATCCTAATCACTCTCGAGAATAGCGTACAGCTCTAAAAGAGAAGAACCTCATGTAGTTCTAGGAGGACTCAGAATAATCACTGTGATTGGCTGCCCGCAATTTGACATCACGTGACCGATTAATTTTCCAGCCGAAACACTTCCGCATAGCCCTCCAGCGGACGACTCGACGGGATCACTCTCGGCCACACCAGTCAATATGCAAAGAGTCATTCGAAGGACGGCCCTGGCGCGGAACCAGGCGCAACGGAAGGCAATCCGTGCCGCCAAAGATGCCGAACGTGAAGAATTGAACGATTCCCTGAGACAACGGTTCGCCTACCAGCGCATTGAACTCGATGCCGTTCGCGCCGAGAGACAACGTCGTCGGGAGGACTGGATGCGGGGGCCGCTGGCGCCGAAGCGGGATGCTGGGCCTGAAGGGAAGAGCTTTGGTGCTCTGAGTCCCCAGGCTATGAATCCGCCTGTGATTCCGAAGCACCTCCGAAGGAAATATATCAACATTGCTCCCGGGGATCGGGTGTGTGTTATGAAGGGGAAGGACAAGGGCAAGATTAATGAGGTTGTTCGAGTTGATCCGGCAAATGAGACGGTCATGGTGAAAGAGACTAATATGGTATGACTCTTTTCCTCCGGTTGCTGGTTTCCCCGCGTTGCCGTTGAATATATCTAACAATTGAACTCTCTACAGGCCGATGTGACTTTCCCACCCTGGTTGAACGAACAGTACGGACACAAGAGCCCCGTCCACTCGATTAACCTACCCGTTGCCCTCGACGACGTCAAACTTGTGGTTGCTCTCGACGATCCGGCCACTGGTAGCACCCGGGATGTTCTTGTCGAACATGTCTATGGTGGAGAACCGTTCCTTGAGCGACCGTACGGCACCGACACCCCCCGACACACACGGTACATTGCAGGCGAGAGCATCGAGATTCCCTGGCCCCGCAGTGATCCCGCGGAACAGAAGGACGAGGAGTGGGACACCCTACGGATGGAAGTTGAGACACCTACCTGGGTGCCGTCGTTACACAACCCGCCATTCCCCTCGAGCGTCCTCGACGAGATCCGGAACAAGTTCTCGAAGTACCGGACACGGCACGACCCCGAGTGGGTTGAACAGATGAAGCTGGAGGACTACAAGAAGGAATATCTTCAAAGCAGGTCTTTGTTGACACCGAAGGGTGAATTGATTGCCATGCTGCGGGCGAAGAGTGCAGAGAAGACACAAGCACAGAAGGATGCTGATGGCAATGTGATCATGGATGACCAGACGGCCGGGTTTATTGAAAAGTTCATGAAGGAGAAGGCCAGATCTTCGGCTTAGATTTTACGGGATGCTTAATGTGCTGTTAAATGTCTATTTCCCTTTTCTTTCTCTTCTTGTTATGTATAAAACTGTATTGTAGCATAGGAAAATGACGAATTTACTCTCTACCTTCTATGAGGATTATCCATTGAACAGTTTCACTCCGAATTTTGTATATATGACCCGTCTATTCATCCCTGGCATAAGCGAAAACAAACACTCAGTTACTGTGCTTTCCCGGCTGGCGATAGGGCCCGGAGGAAGATCCCAGTCTCTCCCATCCGCCCCGATTTTCTTAACCTACCTTTCTCCATCCATCTTCCAAACCGCCCAGTCCCACATTCCTTTATTTTGATATATATTTGTTTATTTTATCTAGGGACTGTGGCTTTCTCAAAATGGCATTCGCAAGTATCAATCGAACGCCTGTGAATAAGAAGCTCAGCGTCCCGGCGATTGAAGAGGCATTCGCCGCGGAACCGCTTCTCAAGGAACGAGTCTACGACGCGATCGGTGCGTACAATTATTCCTCTAAAAAGGAAGAAAAACCCAGACTAACAACTACTTCTTTCTGAATCATAGAAATCGTCCCACAACAGAAACCAATTTTCGAAGACATTGCTAGATACACCACCAGCCTGCTGGCCAGGAATGCGAACACTCAATCCCAACATCACACCGTCCCCATCGACACGAAAACAACGAGCAACGACGACGGCCCAGCCGCGAAGAAACGCAAGCTGCAAAATGGAGATGCGCCGGAGACTGCTGCGCAGTCAACTCTCGACTTGAAAACAGAGTCGTCGCTTCAGTTCTACATGCCGGATATTTCGTTTGCTATTCCACAGAGGAAGAAGTTGACGCTTGAGTTTACTGGTGGACAGAGGTTCCTTCGCACGAGGAACCAGACGTCGAAGGAGGTGGAGTTTGGAGTGCCTATGGATAAGATTCGTGAGTTTCTTTGCTGCCCCTAGTTTAGGGTTCTTGGTGGATATGGTGCTAATGTGGTGATCTGGAAATAGAACACGTTCTGTGCCTTCCTGTGCCGGAGAAGAACCAGAAACAGTCGAACTTCTGTATCATTCCCCAATATAGCGATGGGATCAACCCGCCTCCCGAAGGCGAGACTGCCTCCGAAGCCCAGGTGTTCACGGTCAACGACGGGCCTCCCAAAGCTGCATACTCAGGGACAGGGCAGCCGGTTACCATTGGTGAGGGTGATACAGCTGAGAAGCTGATCCGACGGATATTAAACGACAATCTGTCGCAAACTAAGGTAATAGGGCCGGATGAGAGGGAATTCGTCAGTGCCACGCCCGAGGCACACCGCAAGGGAGAGAAAGCCTATCACGTTAAGGCATTCCGTGGTAGCAAGGAGGGTGAGTTGCCAGACCTCAATGTTGAATTGAAAGGAGTGAGCTAATTTAGGGTACGCGCATAGGCTACCTCTTCTTCCTATCTACTGGCATTCTCTTCGGTTATAAAAAGCCATTGCTCTTCTTCGCCTTTGAGAACATTGACTCAATTTCATACACATCCGTCCTTCAACGAACATTCAACCTTAACGTCGTCGCCCGTCCTACCACCAGCGACGAGACCCAAGAATTCGAATTTTCAATGGTCGACCAAGCAAACTTCTCGGGTATCGACACCTATATTAAAACACATGACCTCCAGGACGCTAGTCTTGCCGAAGCCCGCCGCGCAAAACGCTACAATGTCAACAATGTGAAGACGGAGAATGGCGCTGAAGCTGCCGATGCCGCTGCTGCCGATGGTGAAGGAGAAGAGAGTGAGCTACAAAAGGCACAGCGAGAGCTTGAGGACGAAGAGGACGAGGACGAAGAGGACTATGACCCCGGCAGTGATGCGGATAGCGGTGGAAGTGGCGCTAGTAGTGAGGAGGAAAGTGAAAGTGAAGGCGAAGAGGATGAGGGTGATGATGAAAATCTAGTGGCTGGTGAATTGGGGAGTGAGGTGGAGGATGTTCCAGAGGATGAATTGTAATCCCGATGGATGGCTGAACCGCATGTACTCTACTAGAATATCAGAACAATTGGAGGTTCACCGCTCAGCAGCATCAGTACTACTGCTAACAAACAACCGCCATTATTTTATACAACTCGCACTTCTATTCAAGACCATCTCTTCCATCCTCAATATGTCTATCACAGAAGACAAGCCAGTTCCCCAAGTGAACATCCTCTTTTCAACTCCCGGTTTCACAGCTCCATCCCCAGACACCCTCAAAGAAACGCTCACACCCAACGACACCATCTTCTCCTAGGGCGGCGTAAACATCGCCAAAATATCCCCCTCACTCGTCGTCAAATATGGATCTCACGTCACCATCAACGAAGCAAAATCCATGGAATTCGTTAATGAGAACATGCGAACCCTACCAATCCCCAAAGTCTATGCATGCTACACATACGGTCCGATAGAGCGAGATATCGGTGACTATAGGAGTTTATTTGATACATATATTCATGGATTTGGTGGAAGGACAGGACTTAGATCGCGCTTGGAAGGGATTTGATAAGGATACGAAGGAGCGTGTTGCTGGACAGTTAAAGGGGTATCTTGCTGAGTTGGTGATATTGGAAAGATAATGAGAGTTATATTGGGTCGGTTAATGGGGGGGGTGTTGCTAATCCGGCTTTGGGGTATCATTCTAATAAAGATAAAGACGTCTTCTGTCTGCAATTGTTGTATGAAAGCTAATAATTGCACCATCAGGACCATTCGACTCTGAATAAGCATTCAATAACGCCCTCATAGACGCGTATCAATCAAAACTCCCGAGATCTCATGTCAGAAGCTTTCTGACTGGCATGCCCTCTCAATACAAACATCGAAATATATTCACTCACGGAGACCTACGACTGGCCAATATCAAGGTCAAAGATGGGCATGTTACTGGTATCTTGGACTGGGAGTTTAGTGGTTGGTATCCTGAATACTGTGAATTTGCGAAAGCTCTTCACATCTGGAAATGGCGGAACGATTGGACGGATTACATGGTTCAGATTTTCAAGCCTTATTGTGCTGAGTATGGAGCTTATCAGTTTTTGACTGAGGTGCTATGGTAGCAATGATGGACTTCACAGTACCCCTTCACACATTCTTCTGCATCGTCTAATAGGCACATTCTGCGCCTCAATTTGCCCTTAATGTTCACAATCATCAAACCAACTTCCTCGCCGCAGCCAAAACCTCATCAATCCAACTCGAACAATCTCTCACCGGCGGATCCGGTTTCACCTCCGTCAACGCCCTCGGATCATGCGGCGGCGGACAATTCCTCGCAATTTCCTCAAACCTCGCAAGCTGCGCCCTCGGCAGTCGGAACAGAAAAGCAGCACCTTTGTATTCCGGGATCTTGTCGAACCGGTGAGCGGGTTTCGAGTCGTAGTCCATTCCCAGTCCAACGGTTCCTGTGACGTGGTAGAACCGGCCGGCGCCTTGGTCTTTGTTTTCTTGGGGGACTAGGGCGATGGCTTCGTGGTCTGTGCCTAAGGATTGGGAGAAGAAGACGCGGTAGACGTTGTAGGTTGTTGTGCCTGCGGACATGGTGGCCATGGTTTTGGTTGGAGTCTTGGGGAGGTTGGAGGTTGTTGTGTATGGATGTCTATGAAGAATAGATAATGAAAAAAATGAATATTTAGAAATAGAATGAAAATAGCAGATGGCCGATTTATCATAAGCTATTGAGCAATCAGTGAATAAAGGTCTGCTATGATTCATCTATGCGCCTACCATGCAAGTTTGACCAGGCCTGCTTCGTATTGCGAATATGATGACCAATGGTGTTTGAGTAGGGATCTCACTTGCTCATTGTATGAAACAGAATTATATGCAGCATAGCAAACAGAGCTATTTGCCAAGCTATTTTGTTTTAATGTCTTTCAAGAATTACGGAAGCTGATTGTTACAGATTATTGCATAGACTCACGGACTACCATGCTTGTCTTTTCTGGTTCGATGTGCTGTATTGATGCTATATAGGATAAAGTATCTAACGTAGCCTTTTGAACATTGGATTCGAGACACAATTGTTCTGAGGATCGAATCGCTACCTTCATTGTCCATATTCTCTTTGCTCTCCATACCATATCAAACTTTGTGAGCTAGAGCCTTGCTAATGCCCTCTTTACATCGTTGATGATGACAAACTTGGCGAATGTCTCTAGCTGGCATTGCACTCGGCAAAATATGCCCTGGGCTTCTTCGACTAAAGATTTCTCTTTCCCGCCCCATAGATCGGTTGGCTACTCCTGAAGCCCGACGTGTTACCCGATTCATCACCTGGTAGAAACGTTGATGCAATCGTATACCCAGAGGGGAATTGTAAAAATTGTGACAGTTGACCCACCATACACGGCATCGAATCCCACTTCCTGCAGGGCCATATTGACTTGCAATGCTGCGCATTCAGCCTCCGAGTATGGTGTTAAGTCCAAGTCACGGATTTGTTCTGGCGCGATGCTAATCATGAACTGGCCCAGTCAGTTGCTTGCAATTCAAACGGGAAATGGCTCTATAGTCACCCCTAGCTTTCAACTTCTCGATAATTCGAATATAGCGTTTGAAGAATACGGTTGCACCTTCGCGGTTATCAAGCCTGGAGATTGAATCTGCCACTCTAGAACGGGATGGGTAAGTTGCCAATTTTCCTCTAGCCAAGTTAGCATGCACAATGTAGTAGTCTTTTATGTCCAACTGCTGTATAACAAAGCTCTTTCCGATGCCGCCTGAGTCCACAAATTGACGCGTGGAGGTGGTGCCGTGTTAGTGAGACCATCATTTGTGTGGACACTATCACTATAGCCGGGACTGTTTAAGATCCGTGAGATCTCATTTTGTGGGCTTGCCCAAATCGAATGACAGCTCCCTTGTCGATATGCCACCTTCTTGTGCATTGAGTCACTCTGGTCAAGGGTGGTTGGCACCTAGGGTAGCATTGTTAAAAGCGATACAAGCACCTATCATTTCACATTGCTATTTCAATGTCATCTAGTTGACAATTGATGGCTTAGGAACCATGGTAATGCTCCCGTGCCATTGGTTTGGCTGGCAAACATTTGCGAACCGAAAAGTTCAGTCAAATAAACGGGGTTCGACATAGCCAAACCATCAATTTATACTTCGCATATATTTGGGTCGTCTCGTTTTTATTAAGAGGTTTTCGATTCACCAACTTCTCTCTGTAGCATTGCCATACTCCTGGTATGTTCAGGTCCTTTGGTATGCTGCCTTTTGCTAGAGATTTTTGTAGTAATATGTGAAAGGAGGATGGGATAAGTTCGCTACGAAAGCCGCTGGAACAATACAGTGAAGGCTGGACACGCAGTGAAGCACGAAGTACTACCATGAAGTGAATAATTTGCCTTGCTCAGCAGTAAAGAACCGATTTTATGCCATGGACTATCAAGAAATACGTTCCCATTCGTCCATACACTCCAAGATCCATTTCCATAACCTAGAATCAGCAATAAACATCCCATCCCTCCGATTATCCCGTGATACAAGCGTCAACTTCCTAGCTATCGAGTGTCTCAGAATACCTTGATGCCGGAAATAATCGTGCTCTTTTCTCTGCGTCTTCTCTAGCGGTTCATCTTCCAGTCGCATCTCCTCGTATCGTTGCTTGTAGTAAGGTGAAGAGCGCTGGTCAATAAATTACTGCCCCTTGTCTGTTTCTGATCCGTGTATAAAATCCCAAACGGGGGTGAAGAGGTTGAAGTCATCTTCTGAGTCAAAATTGAGAAGCCGAGTTAGCAACCAGAAACATCTGCTCTGCTGTGGTGATCCAAAAGACTTGCTGTATTCAGCTGTCTCAGTTCTTAGTGTTGAAGAGATAGCAGCGCTGAACCCATTTCTGAAAGCAGCAATAAGGTCTTGGCTTAATTCGTCATGAGAATGTGGTAGTCCAGGCGGGATTAATAGCATAGTCTCTGAAACTGGAACTGTGGATGCGAATTCCCAGTCGATAATGCATGTGATATTTCGTCGACGTATATGTTGTTAACGCTCAAGTCAGGCTGGTAAAGTGGAAATGACTCTAGTGTAGTTTCTGGGTCCAGTCTCTGTATAATATCCCGCAGAGAATCACCGGCAATGATGCAATCGAGCCTGTTATCTGAAGAATCAAGCTTGCTCCCAACAGCCACAAAGTCATTCCAAAGATCACATGCCCGGTGGTACTGAGAATCAGACTCATAGTCATCACGCTGGGGGACGGGAACGACAAAGCAATGATGCGATAGTGGTAAAGCCTCTGCATGCTCTGTAAATGCAGTGATCAGGCTGCTGTAGAACTCAGCTTTTGGAGTAAACGGACCGCGGGGTATCCCTTCGAGAGAACACCGATCTTGCATTACATGACCGCGCGAGAGGCACTCCTTGGCCTCGAAGCTCCCCTGTTCCTTGAATAGCGAGCCTATCTGGTCGAAACGCAACCGTGACAGTTTCCATGTGTTAGCGCCCAGTTGGAAGAGCACCTTGGCTTTGACATGCAGAGGTACTGGTTTCCATGTATTTGAAAGTGGCTGACCAGATGCTTCGCTCATCAGGATGTACGGGATACCAATGTCATTGTCTGACGTAGCGCTTCGACAAATTAGTTTGTGACGAAGAGAAACGAAGACAAATCCTACCTATAGTCATACACATCTGGGATCGGAATATCACTGCTTGCTTTTATGTACTGTAGAGTGGCAGCTTCGCTCGCAAGATCCATAGTATTCGGTGCGTGGAGACCGTAGAAACCATCGCGTCCCATCTTCAAATGAAATACGGATAGCCCAGTTGAAACTTCCACTGGCAGGATGCTGGTTCACATCGCAGGCACACTCAATTTCATCTCGAAGGGCAGTTTCTCGGCGACAGAGTGCCTGGACATCGAATTTGGCGTATGTAAAGATGGGGGGGGGGGTTCGTATTTGGGGCCATGTTCCTGGCGGGCTAGAAATATATTTTGGGGACCAGCCAACTGCGGAAAAGGTATTGCAACTCAAGAACACATGACCCCGCATTTTATATGTTTGTTCTTTGCATATATGGCGTTTAGAAGTATGACAAATGTGGCATTGATGTTTGTATTTCCTACTCCTTATATCAGCCTCGCACTTTGGCCATTTCTCCAGAACTCCTCGACAACCTTTGTACTTACATTATAGCTATATACTTCCTACCTACTTTGCTTTTCTCGGTCTTTGATCTATGTATACCTGTGAAAAATGCGGGCACGCATGCTCTTCGATGATGTCGCCTGGGAACGAAGCGAAGCCATCGCGAATGGTTGGATTGATGAGCTCTTCAGTGATCAGACAAAGTTGAGAGCCATTGGCGACTTCATCATGAAGCATCGAAGAGGCGTTCCTACCGAGCTATGCGATCCCAGATCCGGATCATACAATCTGGTATTCCACATGAAGTTTGAAGACGGTGGCTCTGCCATTATCAGGTTTCCCAAACCGGGCGCTACTATGTTTCCTGAGGAAAATGCCCGGAATAAAGTCGCTGTAATTGGATATCTGCAGGACAATACCTCAATGCTGGTGCCTTTCATTCTGCACTGGGGCCCCAGAGAAGAAAGTCCCCTCGGCTTGGGCCCTTTTATTATCATGAAATACATAAGCCATGAAACGGATTTGGCGACAGCCTTAAATACCCCGGGTTTTAGCAGAGAAGACCGTACGCGCCTCGATCTAGATATCAACCTTGACAACACAAGCTCCCCAGGGAAGGCAAGCTTACATCCTCTCTCAAAGATGATGGACCGTTCAGGCTGTGGTGTGATGACTTCCGACCCGGAAATGTGCTTTTGAATGAGAACTTGCAAATTGTCGGGGTTTTTGACTGGGAATTCACATACACCGCACCATCCGAATTTTCTTTCGCCCCGCCATGGTGGCTGCTTCTTGAATAACCGGAATATTTGCCGGGAGGTCTTGAGGCCTGGACAGAAATCTATGAAAGTCGCCTACAGACCTTTCTGAAAGTGCTAATGGAACGCGAGGACGCTGCTATAGATTCAGGGAGGCTGGGAGAGGATCAGAGGCTTTCTGGCAGGATGCGTGAGAGCTGGGACTCTGGGGACTTTTGGATATCCTACGCAGCTAGGAAGAATTTTGCTTTTGGTGCCGTGTTCTGGAACAGCTCGACTCTCAGTTCTTTGGGCCTGGTGCGAACACTGATGGTGATAATAGATGGAAAGAGAGAGCCGATCTACTTGATATAAGAGAGAAAGAGTACATGGAACCATTTGTGACGAAGAAGCTGGAAGAAATTAAAGAGAGGGTATGGCATGAAAGCCGGATGGGTGAGCAATGACATGGACAAGACGTGATATTGAACGAACTAGCTATGCTATATCGTAACTAGGGGGGTATTTTATATAGGCGAGATAGAGTATCTTTCCACTCACATCTCAAACATCTGACCCGCAGGAAGATGTTCATCGGGCTCATATTTGAATATCTTTCTCAACAGATCTTCAAACACCTCGATCTCTTGAGATAAAATCGTACAGTGAACATCTTTGCATCCCAGCCGCCGTGGTGCTTCATAATGATACCCGCATGCAACATGATCCTGGCTTTTGAACTCCTGCGTGATTTTCTGTAAAGAAATCTTCCCGTTCCTCGATTGAAAAGCACTCGGTTGGCTTCGGCCACATCTCTGAAGCGCTAGTCGATTTCTCCCATGCATCCCATCACCTAGGAAATTTTCCAAACCATCTGACCATCAAATCCAATTGGTCATCGAGGTCTCCAAATACCGTCGCAAAAAGCATCCTCCCTGTTCGAATTGCAAACAGCGTGCAGCCAAGTGCCCAGAGGTCACTCCCAATGCCTGCCTTTTGCTCAAAGATGGGTTCCGATGAGCAGTAATTGTCCGGTATACAAAGGTTCTTTGGGGGCTCCGATGCCTTGAAAGATTCACCAAAGTCAATCACGCATATATTATCTGCCAAGAACTTTCGATCGACGCGGCAGAATCCGGTGAGTAAGCGAGGTATTTAGTTAACTAGTTAGGCGCTGTCGGGTCTAGAGGCTCTCTGGACTTTGTGGGTTGTGTTAGTTCATGAAATCTGCGAGTACAAGTAGTAGTAGTATAATGAACATACCGTTGTGAATACTTCTGCCGTTCTTGGTTCGCCCAGGATCTTGATGATTTCGCACTCGGGGAGACCGTCCATGTTTGACATGCGGAGGAGGATATGCAACGGCGTGAGATCTATCAAGATGAGCGCGATCAGTCATGAGAGTTCCGAGTGAGTGGAGAGATTGAGGGGGTAGAGCTTACCACCATGACAAATGTCATGCTCATGGAGTATAGCCAGAGCGCGCGCAGCCTGCAAACCAAATTTTCGTAGCACCCTCCGGGTTCATAGTAGACAACACGCTCCACCCCCTCTGAGAATTTGTTAATCTTCAAGCGAAGCCCTGGATGCTTATCTGCCATTGTGAATTCACTCACTTTATATCTGCCTGGGAATAAAGAAGTAGAAAGATCAATTTGTTATAGCGCCTTTTGATCGCAAGTGTTTGGGGAGTCGTGGTTGCGGGTGGAAGGTCCTTCCTTCTTCAGTGACTCAGACGGCGTCTCTACGACTCAGTCACTCATCACCTTCCATCGAGCTCCTTCCTCTTCTCAACTGAGTACTTTCTCTGTTAGTTCACAGCGACAAACATAATTAAACATTACAAAGAGTGCCCTGGTACATTTAACGAAAGCATGGAGCGCTGCGGAGAGCATCAAATCAATGGCACGGTTCTATTCAATGTTATCTGGATGATGCGTGATGCTGTGAGAGAGAACGAATGGAATACTGAGAATGTCAGAGCATGTACAGAGTAATGTGTTAGCTATACGTTTTGGTGGCTTATAGTAGCTTTCAGAGCGTGCTCGAGTTTTTCAAGATTGTAAGATAAGCACTGGATTTCAACACTGGCCATCCTATTCAGCAATAGAAGCCAGTCCTCAACATTCCATCAACCTTCCGTTGTACTCAGCCCTCTCATGGTCCAAACGCGCACTTCCATTTTGCCTAGTGGCTCGCGACCACACTTGAATCGGATCAATCGACTGCCATAGCTTCTGGTCGAGAGACCAACTGCGTATAAGCTCTGAGCTATGTAGTTTCGTGCATAGAAAAGTAACATCCGTGGTCTCGTTGAAAGGGCTTGACAGCCGAAGAATTTTATATTGATCCTCCTCTCATTTCATTCGAGTAGTATAGTAGCACTCCGTTAGAAATACTAGTTACGATTCGCCAGATATTTGCGTTAGAAATCCTTCAATAGGTGGGTATTTTGGATAATGTGATACCAGGATGGAAGAGACGAGAGCAATTGAGTTGGAATATGGCACATGGTATGTACTCATAGGGTTGTATAGCAGGACAGCCAATTAGGAGGGACAAGCACTAAGCTCTATATCACGTGATGGTTTAGTTCAGGAGACACGCACCGACCACCAGTCATTATTTCACTTTGTTGGCTGAGAGAAGAGTGAAGATTGATCTTTTCCTTGTCAATTATTCCAAATGAAAATCAAATATATAGAGCACTATGTGGTTTCTAGAAATACTTTATTCGGTGTTGGAGAAAGCACTGACAGTACGGTATTGTGATACTGTCACATACAAGTAATGACTGGTATTGAAGGCACTCGTCTGGTTGGCCGCCCTGGGACGCCAGCCACAGCCGCTGAGTCGACCAGAGAAGTTGTTTTAGCTGCAGAAAGGAAGTGATGTCTTTGTGAATTGTACACCTTCAATTGGCTCGTTGATGCCAAGTACCTTTTTGGAATTGGATAGATTTAAAGCTCAGGGAAGGAACATGCAGCCGGGGTCGCCAACTATATTATTATTGATTGGCAAATGGATGGAGGCGGCAACTCCCTGGTATATCCGATACGATACATTCCACAGGTCAGACAGATCTAACTCAGTTCTCTCCCTCCTTTATGCAGGAGGAATTGGATTATTAGTCACCATGATAACAGATCATCTTGTGAGATTTTGTCTATTACTTGCGGAATATACTCCCGTTCGGACAGGTAGGTATATATATATTCCTCTTCCTCCTTGTATATCAATGCTACGATGCTCTTGCATGTATCTTAAGAATACGTACGGTACGATACAATAAATACATCGACCGGGCTAGACGCCTCTAGTGCCCGGCGCTGAGCCGTTCGTGGCCCGACAAGCAAGCGCCCAACTGTCCTTGTGTGGCTCCCGCCCAACTATATTAAAAACTATCAAGAAGGGAGGTCTGTCCTCCGCCCGAAAATTGCTAGTAGGCGATAGTGGTAGATACCGTCACGTTCGGTAATGATTCTGTATCATACATAGTAATACACAGTATGTAAGATTCAGCCTCTCTCCCTGGAATCGTTCCCCCAATCCCGATCCAGTTCCTCCTGTTCTCCGTATTCTCTCACTTGTTCTCTATCCATCTTCTCCATATTCCAATCGCTTTCTCCATCTTTCCTCACCTCTTCTCCTCTTCTCCTCTTCTCTTCTCTTCCTTTCGCCCTCTCTTCCTTTTTCCGCCCCCTCTTCCTACCTTTTCGCCCTCTCTTTCTTTCAATCCGCGGCACATCAATCAACTGCCCAGTGCGCCTTATCGTACTGCCACGCAGTTGGTTAGTCCCGGAAGAAGAGGCTTGGACGCTTTTCTTTTTTTTTTTTTTTTT